CCAAATTCTTCAAAACTCCAAAATTGCTCTCATTTTTCCATTTCTTTTCATTTCTTTGTGTGTTTTGAGGTTGTTTATCTGATTTAAGTTTGTGGGTAATCATTTATCTCTCAAACTCGTTTATTTCTTGTTCACACATTTCATCAAACAGTTGGTATGCGATTTCTATTAGAACAATTCTCCATGGCTCCTAAGCTTTCAAAAACCAAGGATGATTCTAAAGGTAAAGGTAAGGCAAGCACATCTTCTACTACTTTGGAAACTCCATTTTCACTGGTTTCAACTAAGTGTGTTACGGAATTTGAGGGAAAACATCAACATCGACTCATAATGAAGCAATATGTTTGGAAGCATATTATTGTTGGTTGTTTGGATATTCCAGAAGTTACTAGTCTTGTTGTGCATCAACAAATTGATTACTTTATGGGACTTTCTCATGACTATAATGAAGACCTCATTTGTGTATTCTACTATGGGTTACATGATAGGCGAGGTTCATGCTTTAAGTTTACCATATGTATCATTGTTTATGAGCTGATTGATGATCTTTGAAAGTCTTTATTTGGTATTATTGTTGTTAATGTTGCTGATAATGATGATGAAGTTATCCTATTGGTGACAGATACCAACACTCATATACACTATAAGTGGAAAATTCATGTGAATGAGATACTTAAAGCTCCTCGTTCTGATGATTGTTATTATCATATTACTACTGGTCAATTGAAGATGGTTCCTAGAATGTTGTTGTGGCTGGTGTCTCATGTCTTACGCCTAAAGAATGGCGGGTTCTCAAGAATAGACTTTGCTCAAATTCATCTAGTCTATATTCTTTTGAACAAGGTCAAAATTAATTTGGCTTATTACTTTTTATCTCACATGTTCGCCATCAAGGAATGCAATAAAGGGACGTCATTCTGTTATGTCTCCATGATTGCCAAGATTTTGAACTACTTGAATATTGGTATGCCAAATATTACTTATAAATCTCCAGGCCATGCTCAAGAGTTCTCTCAATGTACCGTAATCAACATGGGCTACTTTTGGGATATAAACAGTCGGGCGTACTACTTCAGTATGGGTGAGAATGGTTTGAAGATTTATAATTTTGATGACCTACAAAGTTTGAGGATGATGTTGCTGAGACACATATGGTTGATGATCAACCCATTGGTGCTTCTCATGATTTTCCTAAGGGTGATGTTTTTATGCAATATACTACTTATGGGGATTCTCATGGTAACACTTTTGGTGATTGATTTGGTTGATTTGTACCCCACCATAATTTTGCTTTAGAACATGCATTTGAGGCAAGATGAGAGTTATGAGGAAGATTGTAGGAGGCGAAATGCCTTTGGGGCTGCTCAAGTGGAGACATTTTGTCTGATGCAACAACACATGACTACACAAGATGAAAATTTTGAAGCCTTTGCTTCTTTTGTGACGGAAATTCTTGTGTCTATGCATAATGAGATGGATGCAAATCATGCAGCTACACTTTCTAGGATTAACCATATGATCATCATCATTATGCTCTGCTTTACAGAGAAATGTGTGAGTTTTTGGATTATAACTATGGTAATGATGTACAAGGATGGAAAAGGGGAGTGAGGCCAATGCCTAGAGGCCGTGGAAGACTATCAAGTGTTGTGTTGTTATGTATTTAAGTATTTTGTCTTGTAGTGCATTTATTTGAGTCATACTTTGAGTTTTCATGCATTGTTCTTTTGTTGGTTTGTTTTGCCGCTCGTTATATATTGACAATGTTCCTAATTTGTTTGAATATGAGACAATGGTTTTACTATGTGTATTTCGTTGGACGAAAATTGTGTAATGTTATTGTATTTCTATTTACGTTGTGTTTATTTCTATTATGTATCTTCATGTATGTAATGTATATGTGAGTGCACGTCCTTATCTTTGCAAACGCCTCTGTATGGTATATTGTATATGTGTTATATTGTATCTATATGATACTGGTAATTGCTTGCATTATCTCTTTTTGATGTTGTCAAAGGGGGAGAAGTATATGCAGCTATGAAGTTATGATGCATGCATTCTGGGGGAGCATTCATAGACACGAAACACATCATCTCAATTTTTTACATCATCAAAAAGGGGGAGTATGTAAGTGAAACTTTCCGTTATATGTGTTTTGCATGATGTTAAAACTAAGATACTTTAACGTTTATATACATTAGACATTATAATCTGAGTCTAGTTATGCATTTTACAATTAGGAAGCATGACAACATGTTTGAAAAGGTTTAGAAAATATTCATGCATCAAAAACTCATTTTTATATGAAAAAAACTGCCTACATAGAAGGAAACATATTTTACTGGTCGACACATACACACTATAGGTCGACACATAGAAGAAAAATTCTTCTACAAGTCGACACATACATTATATAGGTCTGCTCGTGTATTACATTTTTAAAACCTATAGGTTCTGTTATATGTGCTGCCTCTACAGGCTGACACGTGACTTACATAGGTCGACACATACATTAAAAATCTTTAAAGTTTGCATTTTTTCCATTCCTTTTGCTATATATATATATATATATATATATATATATATATATATATATATATATATATATATATATATATATATATATATATATATATATATATATCCCTCTCTATCTATCTATCTATTTTACATTTCATTTGCAAATTGTTAAGTTCATAATTTGTGTGATTAATATGTTTGAATTTTATGAACAACAAAACTATACGAATTTCAAAACAAAATCGATTGCACACAAGGTGTTCGATAATGTGTCTCAATAGTATTTTTGTGTGATTTATCGCTAGGAATAGTGTTACTTTTTGAGTAGATTTCAAGGGATTGTGATTAAAGCATATTGATTGAATTGCTTATCATTATCTTCATTTGGTTTTCATATACGCATATCCGAGCTTTTCGATATCAGTTTAGTTTAGACGAAACGATCCGAATCTCTTCCGCTAGCCATTTTTTAAAAATAGTTTTTGTAAAAAAATTTTTTGTGGGGATTTATTCACCCTTCTCTAGATATATCTCCTTCGTCTAACATTTCTTGTCGTTTTCTTCTTTTGTCAAGTTAAGTTGATGTCTTATTGAATAGAGAGTTATTTTTACTCAAAACCATTTATTTTTGTTGTCATTGTTCTTTACCCCCACACATCAAATTTCTTGGTGTGATTGAACATTTTAATTTCAAAACAAATTATAAAATTAAACATTGGTTGAATGGTGCTGGGGCTACAATTCGGGGGTCAACACGACGAAGTATTTTTATATTTAGGGACTTTCTTTATGTACAATTAGCGTCCAGACGGACACTCGCGTGCCTGTCTGTCCGCTTTTTTAATACGCACGAATAAAAATATAAATGATACTTTTTGTTTAAATAAATTTTTAAAAAATACAATATGTGAAAGTTAATAATAAGAAGTTATATGAAAGTTAATAATATGAAGTTATTAAGGAAATTACACAATAAAGTAAGGGTAAAAATGATAGAAAAATAGGTCACACCAAAACAAAGTATTCCCTTTATATATTGTATAGATACGCCTTTGTGAGAAACACACCACATACTCACCCAAAACTATAAGATAATAGGTGTGTGAGTTCTCCCACTTATAAATGCTCAAGTCTTTACATTTCTAATCAATGTGAGACTTTTTTACACTATTCATACTTGTTATTCTCAACAAATGGTATCTTGACTATTCTTATAATATCTAAGTTTTAATCAATAACCATTAAACATCACATGGTGGGTGTACTTGAGTAATGTAATCTATAGTTACTATAAATCTATGATGGGTGGAATTATTGCAAATTTTCATCAATATGAGATGGTTTTAATTATTATTAATATTTGAATTAATATGGTGAGTTATCGTAACTCTTTAATGAAAGGGTGTGGTTTAAATTATTTTTCAAATTTGAATTAATATGGTGATTCATTATAACCTTTTAGTGAAAGAGTGTGGTGAAAAAGAAATAATGTGTTAGTTCTAAAATGTATCACTAAAAAAATCTTCTCCACCAACATCATTGTTCAAGTAGCATTCTTCACACTCATAATATTTTTCCCAACTTAGCCTGTAACAACACATCTTCTTCTTCTAAGGATTTTTTAATTTGTTGATCTTGGTATCTTGTCCCCAAATGTCTCGACACAGTGAGAGTTTGAGTTGATTCGTTTGGATATTTTCTAGAAGGTATATTTCTTCAGCTCAAAAACAGGGACACAATAATCATGCATAGGAACATATTTGAAATCAATAACTGTGATGAGGATTTGTTAAGATTTTGTCTCATCTGGACAGGTTTAAAAACACAGTGAATTCAAAGTCTGCATCATCAACTTATGTGGTCAGCCATTAGAAAATTCAGTTTCATATTTCTTTGTATCCTAGTTAACAATTTCATCATAGAGCGTTCCAACCTTTTTGAGCACGCTGGAAATGGACGAATCAATATCGATTCTTCCATGCTTGCACCTGAAGATCTCCTTGATCTTTTCCTAGTTGGCTCTCTGCTGACTAACAAACCAGTCAGATTCAATGCTCTAAAGGACGGGCTAGCTCATCCTATTTCTGTTGCTGGAGATGACACGACCACACAACCTAATCCTATTTCTGTTGTCAATTTTGTAATGGTGGACGCTGTCTATCAGGTCTACCAAGACAAATGATTGTTATTAGTTGGAATTGTCGAGGCTTAGGTAATTCGAGTGCAGTTCCTAACTTAAAACACCTCACCCGAAGCAAAGCTATAAACCATATGTATTATTTCTGTTTGAGACAATGAGTAATGATAATAAAATTGAAGAATTATGTTATCTATTGGGTTTTGATTGTTTTTTTTATGGTTGATAGAGAAGGTAGAGGAGGTGGTGTGGAAATTTTATGGATAAACTCCATGCATAACTCTGTTATTCAAGCAACCATATTGATATTATAGTGCAAGACCTCAGACATGGAAACTGGAGAATGACAAGTTTCTACAGGCACCTCGAAGGCAATTGTAGGAGGTTTTCATGGAATTTAATTCAGAATCTTTATGAAGTATCTAACTTACTTTGGTGCATAATGGGAGATTTTAATGAACTTCTGTTAACAGAAGAGAAAAAAGGGAGTGTGGAAATGCCAAATTGGTTAATCAGGGGTTTGAGACAAGTCGTTCAAGATACAGATTTGTTGGATGTCTCTATGGAGGGGTATCCTTTTAAGTGGTTCAAGAACCTTGGAACAGATAGAGTCGTCAAAGAAAAGATAGATAGAGCTATGACTAACAGTGATTGGTGTATGTTATTTTCAGAAGCAAAGGTAAAATGCTTAACGACTACTACTTCAGATCACTATCCTATATTGCTTTGTTGTGAGACAAGTTCGATGCTTCATAAGCCTACTAAAAGGTTTAGATTTGAGAATGCTTGGTTAATTGAGTTGGATTTCCAGGACTTCGTTATTGAAAAATGGCACAAAAATGAGATGGATGGTATTGTGGGTAAATTGGAATTGTGTTGTGAAAATATGATGAAGTGGAGCAAATATAATTGCCACCAGATTAGAAAGGAAATTGAGAATATTAGTAGGAATATTGAAAGAGTTCGACATCATGTGGGAGAAGGAAATATTAATTATTTTCTAACTCTCAAAAGGTGTATGAACTCTCTGTTAGTAAAAGAAGACATGTTTTGGAATCAAAGAGAAAAAGTTCACTGGTTTAAGGACGGAGATCTCAGTGCTCGATTCTTTCATATTTCAGCTACTGCTAGGAAGAAAGTCAATATTATTCTTTATCTTACTAAAGATAATGGGGGAAGTGAGTACTTCAAACAAAGGGATGTATCAAATTCCTCTTGATTACTTTACGATTTTATTTCAAAAGAAACCTAGCTCTCGAGATCAGGTCTTACAGGCCATTGGAACCTCCATTTTAGATATGGATAACAATATGTTGATAGCATCTTTTGTTTTTGCGAAATTTAAAGCAGCTAGTTTTCTATGCAAGCTGACAAGAGTCTAGGTCCTGACGCTTTCAATCCGGGATTTTATCATCAATTTTGGGAGACTTGTGGGAATGAAATATTTAATGCTAGTTGCTCTTGGCTGGAGAGTGGTTTTTTTCCACCTAGTCTTAATATGAATAATAACACTCTTATCCTAAAAGGTGAAATTCAAACTTCCATGAAAAACTATAAACTCTCCCGTCAACTCCTCACTTAATCCCTACCCAGTACAATTCTATCTAGAAATTACCATCTAGATAAGAGAACCCTATCTCAATTCCTAAATCACCTCAGTGATATCTAACAGTTACAATCTCCAGCAACTGTATCATACTTTTCAATTGAAAGACATTCCTTCCAATACAATATTCAGTCAAGACTCTTGACTAAGAACAATACTCGGTTTTATTTAAAAGCTTCAACCAAGAATAATACTCACCTCTTGCTTCAAAGCTTCGAGCAAGAACAATATACAACCTAAATATGTATACCATGATGCATCAAAAGATACAAAGGGTGACTTACAAAGTCACACACAAGAGACTCTCAAAACCCTAAACCCTTATGTTGCACCCACGTTTTTCTTGTTGTGAATGCTTGCTACCTTTAGGTCTAGCAAGTCCTTATTTATATACTCTTCAAGTATGGGCTTGGACTCTTCAATCAGGTCCAATATTCACTTTGTACATCTTCTGCAGAATCTTTTCCACAAAAATAGGAACAAATCTTTTATAGTTTCCTAAAAAGTCTCAAAGATCCTTTTTATGACATCCAATAAAATCTGCACTTTGTTCCTAATAAATCTCCTTGACATGTGCATAATGATGAGGTATATCCAAAAAGATCTCATCAAATCAAATAAAATATGTCAAGAGATATAAAACAACAGCGCCTGCTGTACCAGACCAAAATGTCATGACATCTGTCTGAAACACATGACAGTAGTATTGTCATGACAGTTGATGAAGGTTTTATAACATCTTCCTCAACATCAGTATATCACCATGTTTTACCAAAATTTAGCCAATTATAAAACCATGGAACTAACAATCTCCCCCTTTGGCAAATTTTGGCTAAAACAACCAAAGCCATGCAAAATGTTCGATTAGCTTTGTTTGACATCTTTTGCACACAAATTATCAGAGCAGTAATAATAACAGTTTCCTCCAGTACATCCAGCCTCACAGACTATCATGCTCCTCTTAATAGTTGCATTTAGCAAGCAACAACAAAACACTACTCTTTCCTTAGTAGTAGCAAAGTCCTATCACAATATTGGTCATCATGTCAATACATGTGACATAACATCAGGACAACAGATAACACTAACACTTTACTCCCCCTTTTTAGCCAAAAATTGAAAAAAAAATTGGAGTAAATGTACATGTAAATATAGAAATGGAAACACACAACTCAAATGCATATAACACACCAATCATAGCCAAACCCAAAAGCTGAAGTAGAATCATCATGCTTCAAAGCAAGACTAACCTGACAAACTGCACATGGTATTGGGATATCTAGTTTGACATCTCACAACCAACAGTATAACCTCTCTTTGAGGCACAAAAAACTTCTGTAGAGAAAAATAAATTCTCCCAGATAATATCCAATTTTGTTTCTCAGGACTCACCACGATATCAAGACATCTAGAATGACATCACAACCCCACATGAAACGCATGAACATCTTCATGCTCATAAGTGAGACAATACCAGGATAACATCCCTTGTACCATAACCAATAAACTCTTAGATTGAGACTAATTAACATCATTTATCACTCTCCCCCTAAACACATCCACACACTGTACATTTTCATATTGAATCTTACAGCCATAGACACCCTTGTTCTTTGAGAATAAATCCAATCAAGCATGGAATGCTCACATTTCCTAAAGAGACATACACATTATTTTAACACCTTGGTTAATCAAGATATCATCCACACATGGAAGTCACCAAACCCCTTCACCAAATGAAGAAGAAACTCATTAACCTACCTCCTTCTCAAGTTCAGTCTGATACACTCTCTTCAAGAGATACTTCCAGCAGAACCAACCGTCTACACATAGATAATCAAACTCAACAAAGTCTTGATCATACTTCATAATGAATAGATAGTGCACTTGTAATCCAACTGGTGAGAGCCAAAACTTTCCTTTCTGAAGAGATAGACAACTAAAATGATGTTTCAAACACAGGTTAAAACATCGACTTCATCTGCTTTGGTTCCAAAGTCAACATCCATAGGAATAACTTTCTACATGGTAATCCTTACACTTCCTTTTACAATAACCACAAGAGGATCCGAACAGATCATAGCTACAACAGCTCATAGATCACCATAGGAGGCATAATACCATAGAGAGAAATAACATCTCTCAAGCCTCAAGAAGCTTCATCATAGAAGCACAATGTTCAAACATCTCATCTGACATTACAAAGTCAACACCCATCCTTATGCATCCACAGAGGAGATTCCCTCTGACAGATACAAGTATGACTGACAATAACCATGAAGGTATAGATTGAGCATCATACCAAAAACAAACTTCTCGAAGAGATCTGCTTCTCCCCAGCTCCTCAATCTTCTATCCTCCATTTTACACAGTACACCACAAGTCAAAGTACATCAACACTATCAAGCCACGGGCTTGAGCAGGTGGTTCCTTGGAGCACACTCAAATACCACCTTCCTTCATAAGAGACCAATCAAAATACCTTCCATAAGGTCCTTGATCATGTGGAGATAACAACAGAGCTGAATCTTCTAGAACTAACACCCCCTTACTCCAGATAGAACTCTAGAACACTCACATCAAACATCTTATACGAGACTCAAAGAAGTATATATGAAAACACCAAACACTCAACAGCTCCCTTGAGCTCTCAACTATTGCATGATCCAAACAAGATGAGATAGACTTAGGAAATAAGCATATAGTTGGAGAGCATCCACTCTTAAGAAGACCATCACATACAAGATGATATAGGTCCAATGCACAACAATGATTTCAGCATCAATGTCCAGATGTTTCATTCATTTTCAGAACATTTGATTTACATCATTGACTTGACAACCAACTAATGAAACCCCACATGCCTAAAACAGTGCCAAGAATCTTTAAGATGTCAGAGTGAATGTTCCAGACATGTTTCCTTGACATCCATGTGCATAGAAACTTGTTGATATGTCTCCACAACCCTTCAGCACAAAGTATGCCACAAGATCCTTCAATGGAGTACCAAAAGTCTATCTTCAGATCAGAAATAAACTGACCTAAAGAAAACTCACCAAAGAAAATGGTGTCTTGATCTTCATCTTCACCAGCATATATATACAAGACAAAACTCTTCGATAGAGGCTTCCTATATAACAGACTAGGAGACTCTTCAAGACAAATCTAAATAAGATTCCCAATACTATTGATAAACACGTAATTTCTTATTCTCTAGAACATATGTTGCATCTCTCCTTTGTCCGGGAAGTTCACTCCTTGAAGCACAAGCTTCTGCACACACTCTACAGAAGTGATGCTTCAACATCTGGTTGAACATCGGGTCCTTTTTCCATGAACAAGACATTGGATCTTGAGTTTTTGCACTGCCTGAAGTTTCACCTTCAGGAGTGATACTTTTGACATCACCAATCAAAAAGGATAATTAATTAAATACTTGTTAAGGCCACAAATATCAATTGATCTTAAGTCCCAATTTTGTATTCTTTATACATAAAATGTCTGAAGACAACCCTCACCAACTAGAGAGAAATCTTTCAGGCATAAATATTACTCAGAATACCATCTTCACTTCTAAACACCTTCGGTATTGCCTTTATGAGTGGACTTGAGAGGACTCAAGTTTCTTGGGCTACCTAAAAGATGTCATAGTTTTTACCAAATCCATAGATCGTGAATTTGATAAGCACGCTCTCAAATCAACCTTTTTCCTCCTAATAACCTTCATGGTACCTAGTTGACCCCGTCTCCCAAGTAACATAGGACGATCCTTCAGAGGAACATATCACGATTCTTGCTTTAACACCATCTTCAACAAGCCAGGACAGATGTCAGAGCAATTTATAAGACATAATGCTTAACACAAGTATCATTATCAGCAGCAGCGGAAGAATCTACACAAATAACTCAGTCAACCATTAGAAGTTGTCAGGCTAGATTCAGAACATTATCCTCCTAGCTTCCAATCTCCTTGAAGACAGTAGTAATGGATGAACTGATCACACAATCTTCTTACTTGTTCGAAAGACCAGAAAGTATCTTCCCTAGAACTCATCCAGAAATAGAATAGGATTCCCACTCTGATACTAATTAAAATTCTGGCATGCAGATCACAAATGTCCTAAGAGATGTCAAGACATTGATCTCTGCTAAAAACTAAACAAGGATAGAACATAAATATTTTGTTCTCTTAAAATGAAGAACACTCTTAACCTTCAAGGTCAAAACAGTGTCAAGACAGATGTTTCAATATCTGTCAAAACATGTACTACAGAGTATAAATACAGATTGAATATAATATAACAAAATGATAATAACATAGGATATGATGACCTAGTTCGGTGCAAATCACCTGCATCTGGAGGCTAAGAAGCCATGAATGAATTCACTATTAGCAGTATTAATTTAGAGCTAAACTTTGTCGTTTACAACTCCTCACTTAATCTCTACCCAGTATAATTCTATCTAGAGATCACCATCTAGATAAGAGAACCCCATCTCAACTCCTAAATCACCTCAGTGATATCTAACAGTTACAATCTCCAGCAACTGCCTCATACTTTTCAATTGAAAGACATTCCTTCCAATACAATATTCAGTCAAGACTCTTGACT